ACTTTGATTTTTAAATTAAAGCTAAGTATTATTTAAACCACCACCTTCAATGTATAGATTATTTTATATGGATTAGAACTTGAAAGCATAAGAAAACACCAAAAAAACTTTGGCCCCAGAGAGCAATACAATATAGACTTACATTATTCATGAGCTTTTGTTCATCCCTGCAGACAATCAAGGGGTTAATGATAAGGAATCTTAAAATTGATCATAATCCCAATAATTCGAGAGAAAGTCTCAAATCTTGGCACAATCATTGATGATTGTTAATTTTCAACTCTCCAAAATATGAACTGAGGCAATTTGATTCCTACACACAAGACCTTCCTCTAGCTTAAATTAATTATAATATGCTGCAAATTATGAAGGGTAACATGGCATTAGGATCATTAATGCAACATATATCACAAATTAAATCAACTCTCTTTGTCTGGTTTCGAACCATGTATATTTTAATCATCAGAACACAGAACAGAGAAGCAGTTAAAGCAAATAGGATATAACAAAGCAGAGAAGACTTATATTTTTATATATATGTAGAGAGAGAGAGAGAGAGAGAGAGAGAGAGAGAGAATAAAAAAAAGGATACATACAAAGAGAAGTCTCTGAGTCTTGGTTGTTGTTCAAGAAAGATACCAATTGATCCCTACTACTTTGTCAAACGGAGGAAGATTAAAACTATTTATCTCAGAGTTCATAGGCTAGCTTTGCAGGGTTGATGATGTTCTTTGTAAAATACAAATCACAACGGGTTGTACGGCGCAATTTGCAGTGATTTTTTTTCTTCTTTTTGCTTTTGATATAGTGAAAAGGGTAGAATTGTTTAATCTGTATGGAGTAGTTCAATGTTCTACTCTCACAAAATACTGTAACCACAGTAACCCGACATGGATATGCTAAATTTCCGTTTAGGTTAATAATCCTACTACATATTGGGCTGGCGACACTGGTTTTTGACATAACATCCGGCTTTAAAATTTTGATTGAGGTCTGAAAAGCCCACATAAGCTTAGATGGGTTTGAATAATACTGGGATTTAGCATTTTGACTAAAGTGTTATAAAGCCCACATATGCAAACATCCAGGTAGTGTTATGCCGTTTTGGTACCCTTTTTTTTTTTTTTTTTTTGGATACAAGCGATATTTTAATATAATCTAAACTATGGGGATTTGAACTTGGGTACAGAGTGGGGAGCACATCGCTCTAGCCAACTTGGCTAAGTCCATGTCTACACCGTTTTGGTACTTTAAAATGAAAATTTATTTGCTCACCACCACCACCCTTATATTGTGACATGTATTGTTGGATGAGTTTGGTTTAATCACAAATTTCAGAAATTAAAATGATCCAACGGCACAAAATGTGGTGTTATATTGGTGGCGAGCAAATCTGTTCTCCTTGAAAACGGTAATGTTCACTGTTAATTTTCAACGTTCATAGTAGAAAGAATTCCATTGATTTCAATTGCATTATAAAGTTGTTTTATTAAGCACAGGGGATAATAACTCAATAATAGGATGACCATGGAAATGAGACAATTGATATAACTATGCTGACACTGGAGGAACCAGATGGCGGCAAGTTTCATCAACAACCTTAACTTCTGCTCGGTCAAAATACCAATCTCCAACTGCTTCTGCAATTGTCTGCAACATCTTGAAACATAACATTAGGATCATGTCTTGAAACTCTATCTATGTATACATGTGTTTGTGTTGGAATGGAAGAATAGGCTCACCTTGTTTCCAACAGCAGGAGAATCAGGAGCAAACCAAGCACCTTGCCCCGTTTGACCGTGCACATAACATGAATTTATGAACATCCCATTTTGATCAGACATTGAGAATTGTTTTAATGCATCCAACATTTGGTTCCTAAATCCTGTTTCAAGAAAAACAATGTCATAATATTTACAGGTTTTAGTTACTTTGTTTCTGAAGCTGCTACAAGTTTTAAGAGCTCAAACAAGTCCTCTTATATGGGATGCCTGTCACCTTGCAGAAATTGCATCTGGGATGGAGAACAACTTGCAAGGTTTAATCTGCAACCGTTCCAGTCGCCGTGGGGATCTGCTGATAAAGGAGCTAAACTGTTTTGTATCTGATTTGAAGTGGGAAAATACAATTCAATCCATTATTTCAGAAAAAGTCCATCCATTAGTAATTCTCAGACAAGAGTAAGACCCTATTAAAATGAACACTTACCTGCCATGAATCATATGCTGCGTTGAGTATAAATAGCGGGGTTGTGATGTTGGCGATTACGTTCTCAGGGAAGAAGCACTGCAATGCTAGAAAGGTTGGAAGTTGCTTCAGTTTAAGAGCAAGAACAAGTGTACAACTTATTTTATTTTTCCACCTATCTTCGAATCAAAAACTGCAAGAGAAGAGAGAGAAAAATTTGATTACCGAAGTAGGATCGAGGTGGCTAGTGCAGTAATGTGGCAGATTTTCTTGCACCCCCTGGGACAACAATCATAGAATTCTCAGTTTATCACTCTGTATGCAGAAGACATAATGTAGGTGTGTCACTGTCATACGAAGAAAATAGGGTTTTGGGGTTGGTTGCAAATCTGGTAAGGTCAATACCTGCAAGCCTACAACACCAGTATATAAATTCCTGAGTGTGCGTCCACCAGAAATATCAACCCTACAATTCCATGCAGGATCGCCAATGAAAATTGAAGTGTTAATAACTAGCTAGAAACATGTCTGCATATAAAAAATGCAGCAAAGAGTAAGAGCATTATTAATAGTACTCACGCGTCAAGAAAAAATCCAGCATCACTCATGCACTTCACTTTTGTAGTCGTGGGAAATAAGCCCCGAAACTCGTCACAGTGCAAAATGGATGCCAGACCGCCAGCAGAGCCACCAGTAAGAAGAGCCTAAAACAATATGTTGCAAGAAGTTCCATAACATAGGAAAAAGAGTAGATCTTGAGCAAGAAGAAATGGTATACCTGATTGGCGTAGCGCATGCCCTTCGACATCAAAGCTTCCATTGCAGACAACCATATACGCTGTCCTCTAAATTGCAGGTTTGCTTCCTAAAACCAGGACCACTATGTTTAGGCATTTGATATACGCATATCAATAGAAATAGTTGAGGTACCTTGTAGCACTAGCAGATTCATGTTGAATTTAGCATTTGATATACTCTTCTCATAGTGTAACTTTGTGCAACTCTAAAATAAAAACTAGAAAGTCCATCTTAATTTCTATAGGAAAGCACCAATGTACTGTCTAAACAACAATATAAAGCTGAGGCAATGCTTGTGAGATCCTAAATATGCATCTTCATTGCTCAAAGCCAAATTATAACCAATACCAACAATTGGGGGGAAAATGTAAAAGGCAAGAACATCCTACTGACCTTGTTTTCACTGTCCCCAGAAAAAGAAGCACCATCGCAATAGCGAAGCATTACTCTATTCCAGTTGAAAAACTCTGCAATCCCATATATGATAAGATAAGGGTCAAGACGGCCAAACCAGGACAAAAAGCAGATGCAGGTATTTAGCATTGAGTTTGAGGGGAAAACCAGGATTGTCTTCAGCTTCATTGCTCAGTATTCCAGTAAATGCTTTCTCTTTTTCCATGAGTGATGAAGATCCATATGCTGAATTTTTGCGGTTAGAACAACTCCGGGTGTCGTTACACCATGCTCCTCCCTGCCACAAGAAGGACTTAGGCTTGTTTGGAGATCAATCAACTAAAAACAAAGATAACTAAAAGGAAACATGTAACTTGTCATCTGATAGTTTCAGTCACATCGTGCTCTGAAATGTAAGTTTCCTGAAACCGTCTTTAAGATATGCTTAACATATGAAAAGATTTCATTGTTTCTGATTTTACTCACAAACCTCCAAGCGAATGAGCCAACTATTTGCACCTGACCCATGTCCAGGATGCAAATGATAAGCGGGTAATGTTCCATCCAAGCAGACTGCAAGAGCCAAATTCACAAGTAGGTAAAATTAGGCCAAAACAAATATAAGTCTGAGCTCAAATAAAAACCATCAATTATCTGAAGTCACTATCATTAAGGAAGAAGAATTAAGACTTGACTTGGAAAATGTATACCTGCTCCTTTAGCACCAGCTCCTTCAATGAGGGTTAACTCTACCATTAATGTGTTATTTGCAGCATTGGAGCCTCCATAGGTCTCCAACAAAGACAGCGCTGTCTCATTACTCTTCTTCAGAAACCCGTCAACCCATTTGCTGAAAACAAGTGCTGTTACAAGACCAAGTACCCACAAGAACTTCATCATGGCTCTCCTCTGCTTCAATCTCTCCGCCACCCAAGTCTTGGAAAACATAGCTATAAAAATGAAACTCAGCTCCTAAACCAAAAAGAATTTCGATTAACGTCACGTGTTTTAATAGGATTAAGCTGTTCACAGCTCCAGACGTACACATTAACAAATTTACCAATTCAGAGAGTTTTTAAATTCTTGCTCACTTCTATATTACACTGAGAAAGCTTTAGATAGGCATCTAAATAACATAGACGTAAAGGAACTGCAACAGAGGAGATAAGATCTTATGGGAGATTACTCAACTAAAGCTGTCCACAAATGGGAAAGATAAGAGGAAATGTCACTGGTGTGGAGACATCAACATTTATTTCCGTGCGTCCAACAACAATTAATGCTTCAACGTTACTTAAATTAGTCTATAAGTCATTGACCCAAAAAAAAACCTTAGTCTATAAGTCATATATATAAGGAACAGCGCTTCCCAAGTCATTTATATCAAATGACTAACACAAAAACCATCAGGATAATCAAATTACTAACACTCTTCAATTTTGATTGATATTTTTCTGGGATGATTCTCTCTGCCCATTACTTGATATAGTGGAAGATTTGATTGTGCCTGCTTGTAGAAGTGGGGCTTAACACCGAACCATGTAACTTCGTGATGAACTTTTATTTAATTTTCTTAATTATGTGTTTGGTTGATTATGTTAGCAGAAATCAAATGGCTATACTTTACATAAAATTCTAAATAGAACCCAGAATCAGAATTTTCACATAAACCTATCAACAAACTCTTGCGAGTGGAGGAAAATAACACCTTAGAAAAGTGACTTTTGTCTACCTCTCCAACTACTAATTTGCTAATACAAGAAAGAGTTTATTGGAACATAATCCAAGATATAAAGAGCTTTCACCAAAACATTACATCAATGCGAAACGCTTGCTGATGACATTTTGCACTTCTCAGCAGCCTTCCGTTTTATTGTCTTCTATTGATTTCAATTGAACCATAAAGCTCTGGACTGAAAATAAAAATGAACTATAAAGCTATTTCATGTAATGTAACAGAAAATTAAGTTGGCTCAAAGGGTTGACCATGTAATGAGCCTATCCATTAATTTGCTCTTTGGAAAACCAGATTGTGGCAAGAATTGTCACAAGGGTAGGGACAATCAACAGCCTTCACACTTGTTCGGTCAAAATACCAATCTCCGACAGCTATTGCAATTGCCTGCATATCGTGGATCACACATAGGATTAGAATTTCAAACTCTTGTTTCATGAGATTTCTTGAGATTAATGTTGTAGGCAAACTTAATAAACTCTGTTGCATCAGGCTCACCTTCTTTCCAATAACTGGAGAATTATCAGCAAACCATGTATCCTGCCTCTCAGTTTGGCAATGCGCAAAACACGAATTAATAAACAACCCATTTTTGTTAGACATAGAGAATCGTTTTACTGCATTCAGCATTTGATTCCTGAATCCTGTTTTAAAGTAACATAAAGTCATAACAAACAGCACAAGTTTAGTTCATTTGCTTCTGAAGCAGCTATAAAATCTTAAGAGTTAAAACAGTTCCTCAAATATGGGATCACCTTGCAAGAAATTGATTTGTGATGGAGTACATTTTGCATGGTTTAATCTGCATTCGTGCCAGAAGCCGGCAGGATCTGCTGATGCTGGAGCTAAGCTGGATTGTATCTGATTTCAAGTGGGGAAACATAATTTAATGCAGTCATTCAATAGAGTACTTCACTTGATGTACAGTATGGGACATCAGGTAGAACCAAAATTTTAGACGTTATAGAAATGAAAAATTACCTGCCATGAATCGTATGCTGCATTGAGTATAAACAATGGAGTTTGGATGTTGGCAATCAAGTTCTGTGGGAAGAAGCACTGAAAGGAAAGATAAAATAAAAGGGGGTGGGGAGAAGCTGTGTCAGTTTTAGGGGGGAGCAGCAGTGCATGTAACTTTTCGATGTTTCCACATATCTTCAAATCAAGGACTACAAACAAAAATGTGTATATAAAAAGGAAAAAGAAATGATTACCGAAGTAGGATCAAGGTGGTTAGTGCAAAACCGTGGCAGATTATGTTGCACTCCCTGGGACAATCATTTTAATACCATAAGCATACATGAAAAACATACATTACCACAGATCTGAGTGAAACAGTATCACTATGCACAAAATATATTGTTGCTTTCATGGAATTCAAGAAAAAGAAAAAGAAAAAACATGGATTGGGAGTGGATTACAAATCTTTAAAATCATGCCAATACCTGCAAGCCAACAACACCATTATATAAATTCCTGAGTGTGCGTCCACCAGAAACGTCAGGCCTGCAGTTCCAACAGGATCACCATTTGAAATTTAAGTGTTAATAAGCTAGAGCATGACTTTATGTGAACAGTGTTGGAAGGGAAAAGTGTGTTAATGTTAGTACTTACGCATCAAGAAACAATCCAGCATCACTCAGGCACTTCACTTTTGTAGTTCTTGGAAATAAGCCCCGGAACTCATCACAGTGCAAAATAGCTGCCAGACCGCCAGCAGAGCAACCTGAAAGAAGAGCCTGAAATATGATTGGTTAATATGCTGCAAGAAGTGCCGTAACATGGGAATGAGAATATACAAAAAGCAAGAAGTATTATACCTGCTTGGCATAGCGCATGCCCTTTGACTTCAAATCTTCCATTGCAGACAACCATATACGCTGTCCTCTAAATTGCAGTTGTCTGGCCTAAAATCAAAATCACTGTATGTTAGCATCTGGTGTGCACGTGAACTACCAGATTTATGTTGAGGTACCATCCAGAACTACCAGATTTATGTTGGATTTATCAGTTTTAAGTCATATAAGATTAGGCATTCTCCTTCTCCAACCTTTTACCACTCTTCGTATGGTGAAACTTTGAGTAACTCTGTAGATATTCTAAAATAGAAAAGTATAATGAGGTCAATTTAAAACCAGATGGGAAAGCACCAATACACTGTCTAAACAACCATATCAAGGTGGAACTGGAGTGGTCTGTGTGAGATCCCAAATTCGTATTTTCATTGCTCAATTTGTTAGCCACCAAATTATAAACATCCAACCATTTGGTGGAAAAATGTAAACGGTGAGAACATCCTACTAACCTTATCTTCACCGTCCCCAGTAAAAGAAGCACCATCACAATACCGAAGCTTTACTCTGTTCCAGTTGAAAAAATCTGCAATCCCATAGATGATAAGATGAGGGTCAACACAGAACCAGAAAAAGGTAGACGCAAGTATAGTCTTTGACAAGTTAGCATTAAGTTTGAGGGAAAAACCAGGATTTTCTTCAGCTTTATTGCTTAGTATTCCAGTAAATGCTATGTTTTTTTCCATGAATCTTGACGATCCCCGCCTGGTTGTTTTTCGGTAAACACAATTTCTAATGCTGTTACACCAACCTCCTCCCTGACACAAGATATTTATTCAAGTCAAGTTCTGAATTAAGCAACTGTCAGTAAAATCCAAGGACTTGATAGGCTTGTTTGGCAATCAATCAACCAAAAGGTAACGTGATAAAAAGCATATATTTTTTTTGTGCAGAAACTATCTTTAAGATTTTGATATGCAAAAATATGCAAGAGAATGGATTGCCAAATGATGTCCTTGTTTTTGGTTTATCTCACAATCACAAACCTCCAATTGAATGAGCCAACTATTTGCTCCTAACCCGTATCCACGATGCAAATGATACCCAGGTAAGGTTCCATCCAAGCAGACTGCAAATGCCAAAAACACAAGTAGGTAAATGAGGCCAAAACAAAACTGAGACAGATCTCAAATAATATAAAAATTCCAGGAATAATGCATAAGGCATGACTTACAAAATTAAATTGAAAACAAAACATGGACAAATACAATGTAAGGGGGGAAAATGGGTAAACAAATCTAACAACAATTACATCAGCCTCATGCAAAATAATATGCTAATAATTCCAGCAGGCACAGATGAGAGAATCTTACTGAGAGTCTCAGGCCCCTTGATTACAATTGGGGAAGGAGAAAAAACAGTGTGACAAGTAACAAACAAGAGTGCAAAGAATGGAGGGGAAAACACGCTAGATTAAGATTGCCTCTAGAAAAAAGGCACCATCTTTATCTAAATCAAGCAATATGCAAAATGTATATCAACTTATCAAGAATGGAGAAAAACATAGGAGTGTAAAGTGTACCAGCTCTTTTGGCTCCAGCTCCTGGAATGAGGGTTAGCCCTACCATGAGATAGTTAGCTCCGACCTTGGATTCTCCATAGGCCTCCAAGAAAGACAGCTCTGTTTCATTAAAGCTGTGCTCTACAAACCCATTAACCCATTTGCTGAAAACAAGTGATATTACAATGCCAACCCACCAGAGCTTCATCTTTGCTCTCCTCTGCTTCAATCCCTCTGCCACCCAAGTCTTGAAAAATGTAATAAAGAAAAAGTAGAAAAGTAGAGAGAGGAAGAAAAATAAAAGGCAAACTTTGATTTGCCCTGATGTTATGTGTATTTGGCCATAGAGTTAGTGACTGGTTTAAGTAACTACAACAACATTTATAGGAGGGAAAGTCTTCAGCTTGAGAGCTAACTATGGAAGGAAATCAAACTCAATAAATCTGAGAGAGAGAGAGAGAGAGAGAGAGAGAGCCTTTTTAAGGTTTTATTACACAGGAGGCACGTTTCGAATCTAAATTACGTAAGATTAGAAGGAAGGGCAAACTACAGTACTAACTGGACAAGCGATATCACAGACCATCTGGACCCTTGATTTGAGAGAGGAGCAAAAGATGGACCCGGTACGGTGACAATATATAACGAAAGTGGGGTCCACGTAGGAGGAGGGAAGAGTAGTGGTTGGTTCTCTGAACTCTGGAGAGAGAGAGAGAGAGAGAGAGAGGAGGGTGGTGAATGTGATTAGCGACACACTAGGACCACACTGAGATAGTTAAGACTTTAATTTGAGGGGTTCAATGATTTTCTTCTTCTTTGGGCTACATTTATTGTTTTAACTTCTAAAGTTGTGTGCTTTATGGCCACCGGCGGAATCAACTGGAACCCGTGCTTGTCTGCTTGAGATGCATACAGCCTACAGGTACAGTACAGCTGTGCAGTTTATGTGTTTCTGCACAAAACAATCATTTATCTATCAGAAAATTCCGCCTTGATCAATGGCACATATTAAAGTAGGGGCCACATTTTCATTCTTTTGGTCAGAAAAAGTATAATCTAGGGAGCTACCCTGGTCATGGTTTCAGCTGATCTTTTGCTCTTGATGGTAGTTTTTGGAGTTCAGATCTTTGTGCAGTGTGTTTCGCTGAAAATATAGTGAATCTGTCTGTCCAGTGATTAATGGAAAACAGTACATGTTAATTACTATTATTATGGATCTGTAATTCTGCCAGCTTCCTATTTTTCCCCTGAGTTTCCTCTCAAATAGTATTCTAAGTTGCCCAAATGTGTGTGCAGATTTCTCCAACTTTGGTAGCATAAGTTTTACTTTTTGTATGAGATTGTTCACCTAACCACCTCTTCAATTTTGTCAATAAAAAACCCGAAATAGTTAAGGATATGTAATATGAAAGCGATATCAAGGATAACGAGATTCAAACACAAGATCTTAGATGTAAGGATGACTGTTAACTTTTCTCTCGACTGTAGAAGTGGAATGTATATTTTTCTTTTTAAAGGAGTTTAACTCAAGTGAGGCTGCCGACAATTATGGGGATAAAAATAAGAGGAAAGCTTGATTCAGTGTGAATGGTTGAAGAGGGTCTTATAAAGTATGCATAGCCAGCTCTCTCAAATGATCAAATCCAACAGAAAAAGCTTGGCATGTTCGAAATGAACAAATTAAACAAGGCCCCTTTGAGGCCTTGATGCCTTCGCATCCACCAGTAAACTTAACTAGCTACCAGCTAGAAACTAATGCTTCCAAATATAGTGAAGACTTCGATGCAATTGATGCTTCCTTCTTCTTGTTGAATTAAGTTATATATCCTTTGCGTTTACGCAACTGTCATGCACACATTAATTCTATAATAATAATGCTCATATCCCTACACACGCACACGTCAAAGCACATACATTCACAGATTTGGTCAAATTATAATCAAGAATATTTTTTAGTGGAGATTTATGTGTGCTGCTGGTGGCGACTGATGTTTTACTTTACTTTTCGTCAAACATGTTTTCTTGCTTGTTATTAGAATGAATTGTGATGGAAGGGACGACTTTCGTTTTGTGTGGCGCCTCTTGCTATAGAAAGGTGGTAATTAGTACATAAAAACCCTGCAAAATTGGACTAACATATCAAGAGGGGAATTGGAAAGACTGAATTTTTGCATGTGATTAGGATAGTTACTGAATTCACGGTATTGTGATTCATATGAAATTTTTGATTGGTTCGATGTCTTTTGTACAATAATATCCAATTTAAATCTTTAATGATATAAAAGTTCGGAGGTATTCAATTTAGATTTTTAAAAAGTTTATAAAAGTTTGGTGGTGTTCAGTTATGACTTTTAAAATGTCTTTAAAAGTTTGGTGGTATCTAAAAAGTTAATGACTTTTAAAAAGCTTATTAAATGAATGACTCTTCCGTACTTTTAAGGCTAATTGTTAAGAACAAAAATCTTACCGATTTACTAATGACTTTTATTAACTCTATGAATGTATTTAATAATTTGTCAACTCTATGAAAGTCACTTACTTGAAAAAAAAAAAAGTCTTTATAAGTATGGATTGGATACACCAGTGCAGAGAGAGAATAAAAGATAAAAACTTCATGATTCTTTGTTTCAATTTTGCTCATTGAGAAGCATACACAGACTGGCTTGGTTTGGTTTAAGTAATGGGGATAGCTTTGTTTAGTTTGAGGTGACTTTAATTTTATTCAAGACGCCTTGTTATGCAATTCCTTAAGTAGGAGGGAAGATGTTTGTTCCCCATTGTAATTCTTTAATTTATTAATAAAGATTAAAATATAGAAAGGGCTTTTTTTATAGCACAAGGATCTAATTAAGAAGAATGTTTTCACATTATAGATCTAATAAGGTGATTTGCTTTCCATATGAAAATGGTGAAAGTTATGATGAATATAAAAACAAACAGTGCTGAAATTAAATAAGGTCAGGCATTTTTTGGCAAATTATAAACCATTAAATGTCTCCCAATCACGTGTAAGAGACACAATAATTTATGATGAATCCTAGTTTATATAGAAAGAAGATAAAAACCATCGAATTAATGAAAAGAGAGGCGCCATGTGAGCGTGAGCTCTCTTGGTCCCATAATCACATGATGCATCTTTTGAAGCCTGCTTGATGGCAAAACAGCCCACCAATCTCTGTCTCGCACTACATATTTCTCAACCAAAAAATCTGGGTTTGGTCTCTGCACTCCAAATTTTTTCTCTAGTTAGTATCCTATATTCTATACTAACCACACAAACAAAACCCATCATCCGAATCTAAGACAAATAAACAAGAACTTTCACATATACGTGGTTAGGCCAGGTGACCAAGGTAGTGTGTTCAGTCCCTTGTATTGGAGTCTGATTCTCCTTTTTATACATTAGAGTAGTTAAAATATCACTTTAGTTTGTATTTTCTTTTATTATTTATCAATAATTCAATGTCAATTATATTAAGGGGAATGAAATGCCTGCAGATTTTTAGCATGTACTTTTGTAGGGCATACAAAACGGGCACTGTCCTTGTCCTACTGTCTTAGTATTTCACTCTCGGAAAGCTTCAATAATGGTCAAGGCCCTACAAAGAAGAAAATAAGAAAAGTTTTGACTATTTTTTTGTCCCCCATCAATAACACAACGACATGTGAAAAAGTTATCCTATGTGTCATTGTGTTATTGGCCGGAGATAGCAAAAAGTGTTATTCGGTTACATGAGACTTTCTAACTTGACCTCAAATTGAGACCTCAAGTTGCTTAATGCTTCCATGTGCCCGTCTCATGCTGACGCATGGTTGACCTAATAAGGCAGAAAGATGGAATTGTGAATTTAAAGTTTGGGTTTGGGTTGGAGAGCTTTTTATATATTGGGCATTTTGGGTCTCAACTTTTAAGGGTGAAGGCATATCTTGTTTGGGCCAAGAAAGATTGAGCTCAGTTGATTTTGGACCTGACAAATTCAGCTGCAGTGCACCAGCTCAGCCCACTTTCTACCAAATTTTGACCAAATTGGAGCCTAAAACAAAGATGCAAGATTCTTTAATATGAGTTGAGGACGCTCCATTTCTTTTTTTCTTTTTTTTAAAGACATTTCATATTGAGAAGGGTGATAATATACTAAACTTACACACACTATATGGATGCTAGGACTTGAATCCAAGACCTTTCTTGAAGGAGTAATTGCTCCAAACCACTATACCAGTGAGTCATTTGCAAAACGCTTCATTTCTTTATTTATGAAAAGAGTGTAGAAAACTTATTAAAATACATCTGTATTATATGGAGGGATTGATAAAATCCTCACAAGGCCCTTCTCAATCCCAATCCACACATCCTTAAATTCACAGTTCAAAACATGTCGAGCTAGGAGTAGTGAGCAACTCAGAACCTGTAAGAATCCCTACATAATATACCCCACACATTCTCAGTCCCAAACCCAAAAACACACAATTACAAACACACACAAAAATAAGATCAAAGAGAGATGGAACCCAAAAATTTAAAATATCCCATTAATTATCTCTAGTTCTTCTTCAACCTTTTCAGAGCTCAGTACCCTCATCAGCACATTGTTCTTCAGTGAGCTTCCTCCCCTTGGTTACTATATGCTTTCTTTTTTGGGCTTCATAAAGCTGTTACCTTTTATTCATTAGTCTTTATTACACTGTCTTGAGTACTTGGGTCACCATTGATAAGAGGGATCTGGTTCAAAGGCTTCAGCTGAATCTTAGAAGCAGGTTCATCTGTTTTGTACTTGTACCATGAAGCCCAGTAAAGATAGTTTGCAAAGTTGATGCAGCTAAGGATGGCCAAGAACCAGTAAAATAGGTGCACATTGTTTTCGTTGATGTCAATTCCATGCAGCCATCCTTGTTTGCTTGGAGCAATTCTTTTGGTCACAGCATTTATGACATCAACAAAGATGGAGCTCAAGAAATAACCAAATGCAAGTGACAGCCATGTGAATGAAGTGGAGAGAGATTTCATGCCTGCTGGTGCTTCCTTGTAGAAAAACTCTAGCAGTCCAACTAGAGTGAACATGTCAGCAATTCCAAAGATAGCATATTGGAAGGAAAGCCAAAAGAGACTTATTTTCATGTCCTTGTGGACTTGGTTTTTTCTCTTCACTTCAACAATGCCGGCTACAGCCATTGAAATTGCAGATAGGACTAGTCCAACACCGACGCGTTGAAGCTGCGTGATGCCTGCAGGATGGTTTGTGATCTTTCTAGCGAAAGGAACGAAGAAGAACTCGTACATTGGGATGAGAATGGACATGAAAAGGAGAGGGATGACAGGAACTGATGGCGCCGGAACCTCAAAAGAGCCCAAGTAGCGGTTCATGGCGTTCCCCTGTTGGACTGAGAATGTTTGGAGTTGTGCTAAACAAGTGTTCATTATGATGGTGCTGAACAGAATGGGCAACATTCTTGTTAGGACCTTGACTTCTTCCACTTGTGTTACTGTGCAAACCACCCATTGTTGGGGCTTGGTGTCTTTGCCAACTATGGCTGCTTTGTCTAGAAACCTGGTCAAAATTAATAGGCAGTAATTAATTACCTCATCTCTGTGAAATTTTGTTAAGTACTGTAAGCTACAATGTGACAGGCATTTTCCAAAAGGTGAAGTGATCTGCTTAATTGGTACCCTTTGAAGTCAAAAACTTTGATTAAAAGCTTCAAAAAACTCCACATCATTTTCACCCCTCAAATCAGCAAACATATATCATGGTCAACAAGTCAACTTCAAAAGGGAAACCCTCCCACGTTAACAGAAACTTTGATGTCAACTTGTCATTGTATTATCAAGGTGCTTCTTGATTTTCTGTTTCTTTTTTGTTTGAATGTGAAACATGAAGAATCTTGGCATGCCGTTTGGTGAGTCTTGTTTGAATATATTTGGCAGGTATGCATGAATGTGAGTTTATTGGACACTATTGGTGAACTTTAAGCATGAATTAATGTAATGTCTCACCTGAACTGATCAGTGTGTGCAATTTTTTCTTCAGAGTAATTTGACTCTTTTTCACTGATCTCATACAGTTCTTGAGGGCTCCCTGGCTGTGGCAAACGTCTATTTTTTATCGCAATGACGACAACCTGTGAAATCATTTAGACATCATAGGCGTGTTAGTAATTATTCAAGTGTACTAATTATGTCTGCACACATGTAATTAAGTTTGAGAGAGTTTGATTAGAGAGAAAGAGATACCTGAACGATCCTAATGATGGGACTGTCTCCGGGGATTTGGAGGCGGTAGAAAGGCTTGCCAATAGCGAGCACAGCAAACCCGACAAAAGTTGCAATTGTTGAGATAAAGAAACCCCAATACCAAGCTACATTGGTGCTAACATACACAATGGCTGTGACACCAATAGCTGCTCCAAGTGTACTACTGAGCATGAAACCATTGAAAAATGTTGCAAGTGATTTCGCTTCCTCTTTCCGGTTAAACTGGTCTGCACCAAGTGCCGGCAGCGCTCCCCTCACACCACCTGATCCCAATGCTAGCAAACACAAGGATGCATAGAGCATAAAGGCCATACCGCCTTCCACACAACTTGACATGCAACTAGGTTTTGGGTGCAAATCCTTCGAATAAGCTTGAATTGTCATCAGCACCAAAGCCTATATGTGTAGGAAGTTTTATTAAAATTGGTGCCATAGGTAGAAGTAGAACTAGAAGAAGAATGACCAACTTTATTTTTGTTACCAGTATTTCGACTGCGCCGAAAATCAGACATGTTGTGAACCTGCTCAAGTATGTATCAGAAATGAAGCCGCCGATGAGGGAGAGCAAGAAAGTTGATCCCATGAAGTTTGTGAGAGTGTTGGCAGAGTGTGCCAGATCAAATTTCATCACATACATAAAGTAGAGGACCATGCTCACCATGTTTGCCACAAACCCCATGCTGTCCAATGCCAGCAAGACTACATGAACAAGAAGAAAGAAGCAAAATGTAAGAAAACATGTGAATCGAATATAACAAAACAACCTGATAGTATGCTGTGAATGGTTCATGGTTGCTTACCAAAAATGAAGCTGGAAGCAGTAAATCCTCCCTTCTTTTTGTCCATTGGGCCGAGGGAGCTGTAGCTTGCCTTGGCATTCTCTTCTCCCTGTTGTACACAGCATTATGAAACACATGAACAAGAGTATAACAAAAACAAACGCACACAAGCAGAGAAGATGGATTAAGTGGTTTGACTTACCATGGTTGAAACTTGAAACTTGAGGAGAATAAAGTTGTGAGAATATGTTTTCGGCACAAGAGGCCTTGAACATATAGCCTGAAAAGAAGCCTAGTATTTAACGTTTAAGGCATCAGATTGTTCGCCTTATTGTTCTCAACTTTGTTCTCTCTCTCAGTTCATGTCTCTGTCTCTCTGCCTCTCTGTCTCTTTCTGTCTCTCTCTGTCATAGTGTGTCCCTCAATTGGAGGAATGCAACTTGGAATTTCTACATTTCTTTTTTGTTTGTGAATTTTTGTCCATTTCATTTCAAGAACATGTCATGTTTTAGTAGGTATATTTAAATGTCTAGTTTATCTTCATTTTTAACCATAATTATCATCAGTAGTCAACAAACTGCCAGTGGCATTCATATTTTATGCCAAAATTACTGCTTAGTCAAATACTTTCTGCTAGGATATCTGTCTCTGTTTTCTTCTTTTCTTTCTTATCAAGCACATTTAAATCAAGCAAATTAAAAGCATTCCATTTGCAATTTCATCCATTTTCCCCTAAGAAAGAAGATCTTACTAAAGCAAATATATAAGCAGGAGGAGATGAGGGCCAAAAGTATATTGCAGAAAATCTTAATAAAGCAAATGCATTGAACACATTCCATTATAATAACTTGATGGTGCTTTTGCTTGATCATGATTAGTAATTGGTCAAGTCTGAATGTTGTTGTCACTGCAGCAATCATTTAACAAATAACAAGTCTATTTTGTTAGGGCAATCCCAACCATGTAAAGGAGACTCTGGGACCAAGCTTGAAGCATCTCCTCCCCAGTTGAAAGTTTAAAGGGAGCACATGAAATGAACCCTCTTATCTCATTTTTCCAAATGTACTTTTTGAGTTGACAGAACAGCTCAAAAGGAAATTTCATCATGTTTTCTGGATCCTCATTAATTATTTGGTTTGATTATCTCTCATTAGCATGCCCAAAACTTTATGCAGATCCACTTGCAGATTTCCTTTTCTTAAGTCTTTGCAGTTTCAAAATCAGCCTGATAATAACTATGCATCATTCATCAAATCACAGAAATCATTATCCAATAACAGACTGATATTTGGCATACTTTGGTAATTTCACACTTGCTATGACGGATGAAGCAAGGTTTCAAATTGGTACCATCGATATTAATACTATATGTATTCTAATTGGTACCATAAGATATGATTTATTAGTTATCAAGACAGAAAGATTATCAAAAGCTCATGAAATAAATTATTTTTTTCTAATTCTTTCGGGGTCCTGCAGTTCCTGCTCCCATACTTGATACTTCCCACCTGTTTGCTAGAGTTTGAAGAGATGGAAGACTACCAAATGGGCCTCAACACACGTGTAGAAATAGACCTCAACTTGACCAAAAAGTTAAGCCTTTAGGTCTTGGGTCCATCCATAATATATATTAACTCATCAAAAAGTTCTCTGTTCACTTTTTCATCCAGAAATACTTTAATAAGTTGCTGCCAAGCAAGATGAAAATGCCATTTGATAAAGCACTTAAAAGAGACTTTAGAAGAAATTGATAAAATTCTTTGGGTGGCCATACAACTAACTAGTTATGTTTTGAAGAGGGCAAAAAAGAAAAAATTCAGCTGAATGGATGCATTGTCAAGAAAAAAAATCTCTGTTCAATCAATTAGGTGAAGTTCAATCAATTAGAAAAGAAAGGTTGAGTTGAAGTTCAATCAATTAGAAAAGAAAGGTTGAGTTGAAGTTCAATCCATTAGGACCAAAGAAAGGTTCAATTAATTGATGTCACTTTCAACTTTAGTGGGGCAAAGATTGATTATTAGGCTCCAAACAAGGAAAGGAAAGTGAACTTTAATTGGTGGGCACCTTGAGCATTGAGGCTTGAACTTTGCTTGAAGGAAGTTGCTGAAACAAAAGGCAGTCACAACAAAGATTGCTGATGCTTCCACATCACAAGAACTCTATGCATTGCAATTTGCATTGCATTGTCCATCAATATTCTGTTCCATAATTACAGCTAAGGGCTTGCCCCACCTCCCGTTCCATTTCCATCATCTTTCCTTATCTCCATTCCTCTTCATTTCTATATGCCTTTTTCCAAAGTTGTTTCATGCTCCACCTTCTCCTCTGCCTTCCCTTCTTTTACTTGAAGATTTTACTGTCAGCTGCAGACTGTTTGCCTGCTGCTGCTTTTGGTTGGTTTGGTGCACATTTGTCATTTGTCATGGGCTTATGGCAAGTACATGTTTTGTCAGATTTTATCTGTTAAGGTTCATGTTCTTTTTCACTGCCAAAACAAAGAAAATCATGTTCATTTCGATTGTTTAATTCTGTATTTCATAAATAAGCCTGGGCCCCTGTATGGTTCATGTAAAAGCTCAAAATATAGCCCATGATCCTAAATCAATCTCAAAAGAGTTCCAAGTTTCAGGGCCCAAATATAAGTGGCTAACCAATGCACACTTTGATAAGCCCAAAAGCCAAAAAAAAAAAGAAAAAAAGTAATCTTTGTGCGTGTGCGTGTGCACGGTGCACCCACCCTATGGTACACGTGTACGCTGTCCTGTGTGTAAGACAAACACTTCACTTGGGACTTTGGCCTTTGGGAGTAAGGCGGGAAGCAGTTTCATCCCTAACCTCTAGCCAAAAAGCCTTTTCTTTTCTCTCTGCATTTTAATCTTTTTCTCTCTCTCTTAGCTACTGTAATGGGTATAAAGGTACAATTTTTTTCAGCACTCTTCTCCAATTTATTCTGGGATTTATTAGCTACTTTTTTTTAATGATTGTGGATGGGTGTGTTAGGGTTTAACGAAACTGTTGGCGGACAATGCCCCAAAGGCCATGAAAGAGCAGAAATTCGAGAGCTATTTTGGCCGAAAGATTGCCATTGATGCTAGCATGAGCATCTACCAGTTTCTTGTATGTACCGCCCCTTTATCTGTATGGATTTTGTTTAAAGAAGCTCAATTTTGATGTGGGTTGTGTGTCAAATTGTGCAGATTGTTGTGGGAAGAAGTGGGACTGAGATGCTCACTAATGAAGCTGGTGAAGTTACTAGGTACCCTTTACTAAAGTTCTTCGCTTTCAGTGACATAAGGCACCTTTTCGTGAGTTTGTATTTAGATAAAGTTTGATTATATTTTGTTTTGGTAGTTTTCTTAAGTAGGTTTTGCTAAGAACCTTAACATATTTATATTTATTTTTTCTGTAGAGTTTTACTGGTTTATATTAGGCCAACCCATTCTGAACAATAACACACTTGAACAACCCAGTGAAGTTTAGTCCCTGATCCAAAAGATATTGCTTTTGGTCCATATCCAATTATTATTATTATTATTTTCCAGAAGAGCCCATAATCCATCTTGACCCATTGATCCACTGACCCACAACAAGGCATGTTTTACAGGACCATTAGGCTTCTGGAAGCTGGAATTAAGCCACTGTAATTTGTTTCTTTACCCTGAGTTTTGTTTTTGTTAGTCTTGACATTGTCCTTCATGTTGAACTATCCAACTCAAAAGCTAGCATAACAAGTGTCTTTCCAAAAAAAAATTTCAGCTATGTTTTTGACGGGAAGCCTCCAGATTTGAAGAAACAAGAGCTGGCAAAACGGTAGCTTTCATATTTCCTAATTCCTTAACCATGGTTACTGATCAATGCATTTGTCCAATAATGCTTGGCATACTGAACTTGTTATGCAGTTACTCAAAGAGAGCAGATGCTACTGAAGATTTGGCAGCAGCAGTGGAGGTATGTGTATCTTGTTTCTGATCTTTTGATTGGTAATTTTAAGAAACTGTAAACTGCATTTCATGCCTGCTTTTTTCTTGTCCTTGATTGCTTGCAGGTTGGAAATAAGGAAGACATTGAGAAGTATAGTAAACGGACGGTAAAGGTGGGTTTATTACCTGTGTTCTTTCATACTATCTGCTATCATAATTACCGTACAGCACTTAATATCTGTTACATGAGAAATAGAAGGTTTGACGTCATGTGCCACTTGTCTTGACAGGTGACAAAGCAGCACAATGACGACTGCAAAAGACTTCTAAGGCTCATGGGTGTGCCTGTAATTGAGGTGGGACTTTATATATTTTAAGTAAGCTGTTGCAGATGTGAATTTCAGTGCGAAAACAGAGATTAATGTTTGTAGTAAATAACGCTTTGATTTTCACAGGCTCCCTCAGAAGCAGAAGCACAGTGCGCTGCACTTTGCAAATCAGGAAAGGCAAGTGATCAGCTCATTATTAGTTTTTAAGGAATCTTACAATAACGAAATTTATTTTAGAGTTTCATTTCTTATATTTCTACAGAATTTGGGCGGATCCTATTTTTGTAGAAAGGCTTCATTCCAAGGGGGACTTATGCCATCAAATTTTCTTGAACTAATAGGAATATATATTTTTTTTCCATGGCCCGAATATGTTCTTAGCGATATGCACTAATAACTAACCTTTTATGTATTATAGGTTTATGCTGTGGCCTCTGAAGACATGGATTCCCTAACATTTGGAGCTCCTAGGTTTCTTCGGCATTTAATGGATCCTAGCTCAAGAAAAATCCCAGTCATGGAATTCGAAGTTGCCAAGGTTCTTACAACTTTGAAGACTGTCACGAGGGCCTAATATTTAATTCACTGTTCTAAGGATGATCTTGTTTCAGGTTTTGGAGGAGCTAAATCTAACTATGGATCAATTCATTGACTTGTGCATTCTTTCTGGCTGCGATTATTGTGACAGTATCCGAGGTATATTGGATTTTTAAATTCAGTTTGTGAGCTCATTTTCTGTGATATATGATACTCGTTTTTGTAGTTGGCTTGAAATTGTAGTACTCAGTACCTTATGAATTTGTCCTACAGGGATTGGAGGACAGACAGCTTTGAAGCTCATCCGTCAACATGGCTCCATAGAGAATATACTGGAGAACATAAACAAAGAGAGGTTTCTCTTTAGGGTTTTCAGATTAAATAGACTCAATTCATTAATATGATTTTGCACTATTAGGAACTTTGTGAAAGAAATTCTATATCTATTTTTTTTTAATCTTCAGGTACCAAATACCAGAGGATTGGCCATATCAAGAGGCTCGGAGGCTTTTTAAGGAACCAGTTGCTTTAAGTGATGAAGAGCAACTTGAGATTAAATGGAGTGCTCCAGATGAAGAAGTAAATACGTTCGAAATTGAAAATTGTTATATCATATGCATCATCCCTGTTTTGACTCTTTCATGTCAAAGTACTTAAATTGACTTCTCAATTTTACAGGGACTGATTTCCTTTCTGGTGAATGAAAATGGATTCAACAGTGACAGAGTGACAAAGGTGTGCTCCTACTCATCAAGATTACAGGCTTTCTCTAAGATCATGTTACTTCTATTTCAGTATCTTCTAAGCTTTATTCTCTGTTGATTAGGCAATAGAAAAAATTAAAGCAGCCAAGAACAAGTCGTCACAGGGCAGGTAAGTGATTCTAGGATGAATAGATATGAATTCATGAATTCCTTTCTTTATTGGGCTTTAATGCATTGTTCATGTTATCATTTACAGACTAGAATCCTTTTTCAAACCAACTGCTAATCCATCTGTACCCATTAAACGGAAGGTATGGTTCTATTAAGCATTTTAGCCTTGAATCTTTCTTCTCACTGTGTCTGTATTCGGGATTAGAGGTAGACAACACTCTTCTGCGTTCTTACACTGGTTCTGTTTTATGCGCAAGATTTGACTTCTAGTTATGGCTGCATCAAGATGCTGTAGATTTTTAATTCTTCTTTATCATATCTTGGCCTGCATTAATTGGTTATATCATTTTTCTATAGTGTACTTTTCTTTGTGTTTTATTTGATCCTTAAGAGTTCTTTCTTGGTCTTACTCATCATTACTATGTACTTACAAGTGGTCTTCCCTGGCACATTTTATTGAATTGCTGAAATGGGGAATCTTGTAAGGCTGCAAGCAATTTGCATGTGTTGAAAGTTTTAATAAATTTTTTTATGTCCATCTGATCACTGCTTGTTGGTTTGAATCTTTGAACCCCCTGTGCGCATTACACATTCCCTCTCTTCAATTTTGATACGTATCTCTGTCAGATTGCCTTTTCCTCCCTAACTCATGAAAGGAACAAAAGGGACCCAACAGGTTGTCGTAATTTCTTGCTACATTGAATGACAGGAAACCAAATGTGTGCTTAAATCTCCCAAACCAGCAATCAAGCATAAGATGTTCTCTCTGCAAGATTGTAATTCATTCAGGCCCACTGTCAGTGGTAGTATAAGTCTGACAATTCTTGGTTTAGGCTTGAAGCACTCCACGTCATTAACCAGAGGTGTCTGTTTTGGCGCATGAAGCTGAAAACCTTGGTGAAGCTTCGGAGACAATCTATGCTTATGCCTATCTCCTTTAATTTATATCATATCATCGGTATCATAGGAAAATGAATTGTTGCTATCAAGTTTTTCCACAACTAAAAATGCCTAACTTTATGAAAACAAAGCTTCTACATTGAATATTTCAGTTTTGCTTTGCCTTAGATGGTTCTTTGTCACAAATGCACTGGACATGTCCAACAAAAACCCATAGACTATTAGAAAAGGTGGTGTGTTGGTTGAGGTTGAGAACTGTAAAGCTTTCATCTTAAACTGTGTAGCAAGAAACTATTCAATCTGAGCATTTATAGTTTTGTTTTTCTAATATTCCGTTTATCCTTGTGACAGGAAACACCACAGAACACTGCCAAAGAACCTGCTAACAAAAAGCCAAAAGCTGGTGGTGGTAGAAAGAAGAAATAGTCAGATTTGCATTATAACTTCAAACCAGATGAGTTGAGCGAATTGCATTTTGATCAGTTGAACTGACTCACGACGGATTAGCACAGTTCCGGTTTCTTATGTTAGGATTGCAAGATTTTAGGTTGATTTCTGGAGCATGTTTGATGTGAAATTTTGGGCATATGCTTCTATTCAAACTACTTACTGTTTAAATTCAATTTTCAAATGAAAGGAATATGTTTGCCTCAGTCTACTCTACTTGAAGTATTGTTATATATGGCTTTGCTTCCTGGATAACAAGTTAATGACAAATTTGGAATGTCCATGTAATTAGAACTGTCTTTTTAAGTGGTAGCTGCTGGTAACCAGTCGAGTATGGCTGGAAAGCCATTAAAGTAGGCTCTTTTCTTCATATTTTTAGTTGAAATGCAACATAAAATAGACGTCAAATGCTCTTTTCTTCAAACCAGTTTATCAAGCCGTAAACACGTACTGTAACCAAGGATCTTCACTCTCTCAGTCTCACTCTTGTTAACCAGAAAGGCTCTGATAAGCATGCGAGCTCAAAAAATTAAAAGCTCTGATAAAAAAAAAAAAGCAAAATACAACTGTTCTTAAAACATTAAACACTCACACCCAAACCCAAAACTGAGTCAATTGACAATGTGCAATGCCATGCTACCATCACAGCCTTTACCAAACGACGTTTTCCAAGCATCAAAAACCAAAGCCATCCTTGCCCTCTTGCAAGGATGCAACAGCCTCATAAGGCTCAAAAAAATCCATGCCCACGTCATCACCAACGGTCTTCACCACCAACCCGCCATTTCAAACAAACTGCTCAACTTCTGTGCTGTTTCAGTCTCGGGCTGCTTAGCCTACGCTCAGCTTCTCTTCCATCATCACATACAAAACCCACAAACCCAAGACTGGAATTCCATGATCAGAGGCTTTTCCCAAAGCCCATCTCCTCTTCAAGCCATTTTTTACTACAATCACATGCTTTCCTCTGCTTCTGATTCTTGTCCTGACACCTTCACTTTCTCGTTTGTGCTCAAGGCTTGCGAGAAAGTTAAGGCCCAGACCAAGTGCAAAGAGGTTCATGGAGCCGTGGTTCGCAACGGTTATGAGAACGACGTTGTTGTTTGCACCAATCTTATAAGATCATATGCTTGTAATGGTTCGATTGATACTGCACAGAGGGTTTTCGACAATATGCCTGAAAGAGACTTAGTTTCTTGGAACTCTATGATTTCATGTTACTCTCAAAAGGGTCTTCACCACGAGGCCTTGAGAACGTATAATCTTATGAGAAAAGAAAATGTGGGTCTTGATGGTTTTACTCTTGTTGGCTTGCTCTCTTCTTGTGCTCACTTGGGTGCATTGAATACCGGAGTTACAGTGCATAGAATAGCTCGTGAAAAGGGGCTTGTGGGAAATGTTTATGTTGGGAATGCACTTATAGATATGTATGCCAAATGTGGCAACTTGGATAGTGCTCTTAGTGTCTTTGAGAGGATGCAGAATCGTGATGTTTTTACATGGAACTCCATGATTGTTGGGTATGGAGTACATGGTCGTGGGGACAAATCAATCTCTTTTTTTGGGCAGATGCTGATGGCAGGAGTGCAGCCAAATTCCATCACATTTCTTGGTTTGTTATGTGGATGCAGTCACCAAGGCTTGGTAGAGAAGGGTGTTGAGTACTTCAATGTGATGAGCTCCAAGTTCAATATTAAACCTGGAATTAAGCATTATGGGTGCCTGGTGGATCTTTTTGGCAGAGCTGGGATGCTCGAAAAGGCGCTTCAAGTTATTAGGACTTCGCGTGCTCAGGACGATCCAGTCCTATGGCGGACTCTGCTTGGCTCTTGCAAGATTCATAAAAATGTAGAAATAGGAGAAATTGCTATGAGGAATCTAATCCAGCTAGGGTCATCAAATGCAGGGGACTACGTACTTCTTGCTACGATTTATTTTAGAGAAAAAGATGCAGATGGTGTTGCAAGGATGAGAAAATTGATTAAAACCCAGGGAGTGAAAACCACTCCTGGTTGGAGCTGGATTGAAGTTGGTGATCAGCTTCACAAGTTTGTTGTGGATGACAAGTCACATCCAGATGCTAATGAAATTTATCAAAAGGTGAGGGTTGTTGTTCATCAAGCTGCTCTGCATGGTTATGTGCAAGAGGGATCTCTTATCACAGTGTCTGAATTTACCTCCACAGACACAGATTGCTTTGAAACTTCCAGTTCATGTCACAGTGAGAAGCTGGCAATTGCTTTTGGCCTGGCAAGAACTCCAAAAGGAACATGTTTACGAATAGTAAAGAACCTCAGAGTTTGTAGAGATTGCCATTCATTCACAAAATTCGTTTCCCAAGCATTCAATAGAGAAATAGTTGTCAGGGATCGAGTTCGGTTTCATCACTTCAAGGGTGGATTATGTTCATGTAAAGATTATTGGTGACTTATGCTCCAAGTGATTTGAATAAAAACAACTGAGCACTATAAATCTAGTCTTCAAGTTTTAGATTTCAAGCAAGTGGAAGTTAACACATCAATGCCTATTTCTTTTTAATGAACAAGTAAAAGATGCCCTCCAAAAGGAACATGTTTACGAATAGTAAAGAACCTCAGAGTTTGTAGAGATTGCCATTCATTCACAAAATTCGTTTCCCAAGCATTCAATAGAGAAATAGTTGTCAGGGATCGAGTTCGGTTTCATCACTTCAAGGGTGGATTATGTTCATGTAAAGATTATTGGTGACTTATGCTCCAAGTGATTTGAATAAAAACAACTGAGCACTATAAATCCAGTCTTCAAGTTTTAGATTTCAAGCAAGTGGAAGTTAACACATCAATGCCTATTTCTTTTTAATGAACAAGTAAAAGATGCCTTTCGTGTTTCTTCCTGAAGAAGGGCTCCAATCCTCATCCTTATTCTATTGAGTGTTGGATTGTCAACTCTTTCAGAATAGCAATGGCAATTAACTATTGACTTGCATATTTAAATTCCATTTTTTTTAAAATTAAAACAGAATGGCTCACAATATCAAATGCAGCATGCAACATGGTTGTCCTCTTCGTGACTTTTCAACATGGTGTTTGGTTCTGGATTTCCTCTGTCTCAGCCTGCCATTTTATGCATTTGGAAATTTCCAATATTCCATCACATTATGTTGGTCGCTTTCAAGAAACCCAACCAATTATTCTTAAAGCCAATGACATCTAGCAATTTACCAGACACATAAGTTCCAATAAATAGTACAAAGCATTAGTTGCAGTCCACATGGTCCTTGAGAATATGATTGTTGAACTTTGGAGACGGAGACCCTCCAACCATGGGGAGCTGGTTGCAGATATGAACCTATTTCAAACAGTTTACGTAGCAGATGACAGAAAAGCCATTGTGGGAAGCAACCTCCAAAAGAGGACAACAAGTGAGAAGAAATAAATAGAGAAGGGCTAAAAGAAGGGAGTCTAATTAAGGGAGTTTGTGTGACCCCACTGAGTAGGTCAATTGGGTTGGAGGATGGATAGAGTCAGCCTTAGCTTTTGCATACGTTCTAACAACTCAACCAAACAACAATGGCAACCTTTCACATGAAAGGAATTTGTTTATTTTGTAACTTTTCTTTAAAATAAAAAGGGTTGGTGAATTATGGACCATATTCGTGATTCCCCTATGCATGTTTTTTCCTTTGCATCCTCAGGGTATTTCCAAAACTTGCTATTATCATAATGTGTTTTTAATTGTAACAACTTATATTGGTAAGCAGTTGTTAAATTTAAGAAGTACTGACGAGAAAAATTAATGAGCTTTTAACTTAAAAATATGAATGATTGATTGAACGTAGTTTCAGAGTTTGATATATGCTGTTTGAAAATTGAAAGAAGTTGATGAATGTAACTATCATGTATATTAGAAGCCAACATGAAGAGAATGACTATCCAATCCAATTATATGAAGTAATTAACGAAAGTAATTTACTTCTTTGTAAATTATACAATGAGTATGACTATCCGGATTGCTCGATTTGCTTTACATATTGGTACTTTTGTCACTTGATTTGAAGAGCCACCAGATTTTATTTTAGATGGTTTTTTTTAGGATTGTAACATATAGTTTTTACAGGTATGATCATAGGGGGACGGGATTGCTCTATCGGAGGCAAGATTCCTTCTTCCTTTCGCGGTTGAGAGAGTAGGCTACAATGTAGTCGACAACTATACGTCCATTTGGTGTAGAGTACTCACCTAATCATCTAGGAGATAGTCTAATTTTGATACTTGTTTTCACTCCTCATCAATAAAATTACCATCGCCTTTGTCTCAAAACAAAAAACAAAAGAATAGTACAACCTAATCACAAATCACAACTCATGAAGAATAAAACTATCCAATTACCAATAAACCATTGAACACATTTTTTGTTTAACAAACAGGAATGTGAAAGTGAGTGATGCTTCTCACGGGGTCCAAAATCCCATCCCATATAGAAAACAGAATGCATAGAGACAGACAGAGCCATAGAATTGGACAATCGTGTTGGGAAGAATCGTACCTAGCATTCATTTTAAATTACAATTAATTAAGCGTTAAAATGAGATTAATCATAAACAAAAATCAAGATAAAATAAAGTAAGAAATCCATGTGGGGCAGATCCGTGGACGCGCAAATTGCCGCAAATGAGGTCAACGCTCCCAAAACAGAGAGAGAAGGGTCAAGCAAAGCCAAGAGGAGGAATGTGTGTGGTGATGACTTTGCTTTGGGTGTAAATAAAAGAAGGCATGCCCCATGCTTTAATTTCACTCACAAAACACACAACAAATATTTTTACCAGCAAAACAAGAATATTACCCATCAAGCTTTCAACCTTCAACTACCCTTTTCTATAAATACTCAGCCTACCTCTTCCTTCCTATTCATTCACACACCATTTTCTATACATTTCGTCCTCTTGACTAGTTTGCCTTTCCTTCTAAGCAGCAACAATGGCGGCTCTCTTGGCACTGTTTGTTGTGGCTTTTGCCATGGTCTTTGGCAACTCTGCTGCTGATCCTGACTTGCTTCAAGACATTTGTGTCGCCGACCTCGCTGCTGGTACACTTCTTCTTCTTCGACCCTCATCTTTGTTTCAAATATTTCAGTGTTATAGTGCTAAAAGTGAACACCAAAAACCATGGAAAAAGGATTGAGCATCCCACTTTTTTTTTCTTTTTCTCCTCTATTATTAGAAGTTGAC